GGGGGGGGGTCCTGTTAGGGGGAGAGAACAGTCCGAACAATGCTTGGTTCACGATAAGGCTGATTCCTGTGGGAACACAGATTAGTTACTGCCTGCTTTGCACATAAACTTTGCAGAAAACTGTAGCAAATCACAGATTGCCACAATGGGATCTTGTTCATGAGAGGTATAAAAATGTATCTTCGGGCGTGGCTAGGGGTCGACACGGCTTTGAGCACTGAACTCCCTTGTCGATCTGTCTGCAAACAAATAAACTCGAGATGGATCCAGCCTGAGTGTGTATGACTCTCTCCTTGAGGTATACTGGAAAAGCCTCCAGGGGCACGAAACTAGCCGTTTGTGCAACATTGCTACAAGCCTGATCCCCAACACAATTCTCCTCGTCAGATGATTACACAGCATCCTCTCTGCATCATCCTATGAAAATGGTCAGAGAATCAGGTCTGGAGTCCAGCTTATAGCCAGAGAACTACTAGACTAGAAGTATACAGTGGCAGGCTGTTAGGTATGCAGCAGCTGAGGCCCAGGATGCCAAAATGAAGAGCCTGCATCAGAAATTGTTCAGAGTATGCTATAAAAAGTACATGGGACCCTTGGTCTGTCTTGGAAACCTGTGATGTTATGGGGGCCCACTTTCTGTTAATCATCTCTATCCCTTAAAATCATATTCTTGGGAATACTGGAGAAATGAAAACTGGGTTTGTTCACGTTATGAAAGTGAAAAGAGGGCCTTCAAAGTAGCCTCTACATCCAGTGCAAATAATTTCCCATTATTATAACTGTTTCACCACTTCCACTGACATTAGAAAGGTTAAAATTTAAAGTTTATACTATATAGTACTCTAAACCTTGTCATGTGCAGTAATGCAGACACAAAAGAGTAGCGTTTTACTTACTCACCTTTAAACAGAGTTGATACAGGACTTGAGTCTAATAGTCCATGCAATACATGTTTTTGCGAACCTTTGTATTACAACCAAGAATAATGCTAAGGTTATCTTCAGCAGAGCACTAAAGTGGATCCAGACATGAAAAACAATTTTCCAAATGAGAATTTAAAAGGTACTGTGTAGACTGCACTTTGCCCTCCTGCTTAACACACAGAACAGAAAAGAACTTTATTTTTAGTTTGGCTTTTTGTTTGCTTTTAACATAATTTTTACTGTCACGTTTCATTATTTAAAATAAAATAAATTTCATTATTTAAAACTGAAGTTGTATGTTGTATACTAGAGTAGCAGATAAAGGTTTTAATCATGTCCTTAGTACTTGGATTCTGTAAAAATTGAATGAACTATGCCCTCCAAGAATATGAAACCAAATTAATTTCTGGGTGGAGCCCAAATTTTGAACAGACGGTTTTAACTTCAAGTAACCTCTTAAAAGTTATATAAGTGGTTCTGAGGCTTCACCTACCTGTAATTTTCATATACTGACAAGCTTTTAAAAATGTTGATACAAAATATACTAACTGAAAAATTCAAATCACAGTAAATATGGGCTTTATCTTACAAACATCAAACAGTTATTTTTGCAAATCAAAGTTTTCAAAAATAATGTATTTAATACTATTTACACTATATTTTTGCTATAAAAGCAAACTATTTCACTTAATTTCAAAATTAACCATATAAAGAATTGTTCCTATTTAGGTTCTTACATCAGTAGCATAATTTGTTTGGGTGGAGGGAAGCAGGGTGTGACCGAGGCACTAACCCTGGGGGAGCACCAGAATGGCAGGGAGCCTGTATTGCCACCACAGCTCATGGAGGGGGAGCTTGCACAGAGGAAGCAGAAGTCTATGCTGCCCCAGCCTGCAGGAAGAGGTAAATGCTCCTCTTCCCCTGCCTACTGTACCACTTTAGGCACCAAAATTTAAAGTTTTCCTCTGTTATACACTATTGTTAAACGATTAAAAAACGTAGTTAATGCAAACCATGTCAATTCCCTTAAACCAGCTCAACGCTGGCATTAAACACAGACAATTAAAAAACCTGTAACAAAAAACAAAAAAGATGGATAGTCGGATCCAGACTGTCACCTGACATAACCACAGAGAAATCAGTTGTTGTATCATTTTTTTTTTATCCTGCTTGCACATATTATAATATTTTTATTTTTTCTTCTATTATTTATAGGACCGGGCTTGCAATACTGTTGGATTAAATCATATGAAAACTGATTCACTAATTAACTGGTTACTTACTCGATTATAAAATGGATGCTGAGGTCCTGTCATTCCACTGTAGTAGCTGCTGTGAGGTTGTGGCGATAAAACTCCACCATTGAAAGGTCCATTGAAGGAGGTGGATGAAGAGCAGACTGAAGAAGGCTGACTGAACACTGAAGACGCTCTTGCAGGTGCCTCGTGTAATGGCAATGTGGGATATGGAAGTCCTCCAATATTCATTTGATCTCGTGCAGCACGAACATCTGAAGAATTAAGTGTGTACATGTAGCAAGGGAAGGAAAAGAATGATGTAGTTAGCTTAGAGTATGCTTTGGATTGTCACATATGAGAAGCCAGATGTAAAAATGGGCAAGCTGATCAGCACTTTTAACAAAGGATGCCTCGTATCAGTTTCTACCTTAAACTGATTAGAAAAGTAGGGGTGTAGCAGAGATTTTTGGGGCTGATACCGATAGCCGATTTTTAAGGAGGCATACCAGCCAATATTGATTCTATTTCTGATACCCAGCCCAGCAGCATGGAGAGCTGCCTCCAGCTGGTAAGCCTGGTGTGGTGGAAGGGGAGGGGGGGCAGGTCAAGGCCCCTGCAGGGAGGGAGGCATGGGGCTGGGGTAAGCGCTGCCTACTCAGGATGGGGCAGGCATGGCACAGAACCATAACTCGTCCAGGGGGTGTGGGTTCTGCTGCTGCGCGCCACTTGTCCAGGAGCCGCTAGTCCAGTGGCTCCCACCGCTGCTCCAGCTGCTTGGCCGGGAGGGCGTGCGCCCCTGGATCTGCGTGGGGTGGGCTGGGGCCAGGGCTGCATCAAGCTCTTCTTCACAGGGCAGGACTGTGCTGCGGGGGAGGGGGCTGCAGCTACAAATCTGCCATAGCCCCATCCCAGCGCAGCCCTGCCCAGGAAGACCATGGCGCAGCCCCAGCTTGCCCCGTGTAGACCCGGGGGCACATTCCGCCCCCCCC